TGAAACTACAGTTTCCTTTAGGTCCATCTTTAGATTCTATATCTTTGAAATCTGGTCAGATCTTCTAGTTACAGGTGGCCCTTGCGTGGACCAGCATAAAGAAGAACCCATCACTGCACCTGTGGCTTCACAGGAACAGGTGGATGCTGACCACAATGTACCCGAGGTGCTTTGATTTTGCCTGAAACTGGGTTTAAATAGACCATGCGGATGTGTTTTCTAATTGAGTTTTTAATGTATTTTTATATTTCACAAATCTAAATGACTCTTGTTTGTGTAGGAGAATTGGTCTTCTGCTGTTGCTAATGTCAAAGGAGCTCCCAGTGAAGAAAGTTCAGTTATAGATATGGTTGTGGTTGCCACACCCGGTCAGCTGGACCAGCAGCATGTTTTAGAGAGGTGAAACCTCAAGAATTTCAACTTAAAATTGTATTTGTATTAGTTAACTAAACATAGAAACTATGCCATCTGCAGACAAATGGTACTAAATCTTCAACCATTGTATTGACTGAGTGTGCTTTATTTCTTCAAAATATATACCAACTGGTTGCATGATTTGTTTTGGATGTAATGCAGTGACAGAAATAGACTTCAAAGAGACTGAAACTTATTTATCAGGATGGTAGGGCTGAATTCAGGTTAATTGGGACATTTTTGCCAGTCATCTCAATTACTTGATTTCACCCTAATAGCTATAGAAATGATGACATTGATAAACGGGATAAATAATGCTGTCTCCACTATATTTTGTTGGCTGAAAGGCTGCAGCAGCTGGAGCAGGAGTTTGTGGGTGGAGAGCAGGTGAGGAACGAGGAGCTGAAGCAGAGACACAGACAGAGGAAGACTCTGGCCGACCAGAGGAAGAAGCAGCTAATCGAAGCTCTGAGCCAAAGCAGCGAGGACAGTGACAGCGTTCTGCTGAACGTATACGATTCCATTCAGGAGGAAGTCCATGCCAAGAGCAGACACCTGGAGAACACGCAGAAGAAGGTGAGAGATTTCAGTATTTAGATATGATATGAATATTTGACTATTACATACTTACTGTTACTTTAGTTCTGAATAAAATATGTATATTATTTGAATTTATTAGCTAAATGTACAGAAACTATTATTTAAAATCGACCAAAAAAGCGTATAAAAAGTATATTTTTCTTAAATTAGATTTCTAGTTTCACTAACGAGATGAAACTGTAGAACCAGTCCAAAATGTCCAACCATCTGTTTGTGTGATGAACAGCTAAAAGCTGCCAAATTGGAGATCAGAGATCTTCAGGCAGAGTTTGAGATGGAGAGAGATGATTATCTGGCCACCATCCGGCGTCTGGAGCGGGAAGGCCAGCTCCTTCAAGGAATTTTGGAGCGCATGGCACCCCTGGTGCGCAGAGACTGTAACTACAGTAACCTGGATCGGCTGCGGAGGGAGGCGGTGTGGGATGAAGAGGGAGGGACCTGGAAACTGCCAGAGGTGGTGGTGCAGAAAACGACATTACCTGCAGGTGAAGTGCTGTGGAATGTCAGAGAATCTTTATGATCTTTGTTCAGTCAATTGTAAAAGTCGCAGTTCATTTTTATACACTTTACTTTTATGTGCTAATTTCTAATGTGATCATAGAAGAAAACAAAAGAAACTTGTTCTGCACTAAAATTGATTCAGAATAAACGAGTCACCAGTAACAGCAAACCATAAAATAATTATGATACTATTTCATGGATGACAAAAACTGTGGTTCTTGGTCACTGTTTTGCAGAAAATAGTGCATGTTGCAAAGCAAATGTTTCAGTCAGTTCCTTGTGTGATTTAAAGATATATTCTCTCTCTTGCTCTATAGTCCCTCCTTCAGGTGCCATTGCCCCTGGCAGACTTTCAGCTCGCAGGAATTCTGCCTCAGACCTTGCCGACCCTTTTGTGGTATTCAGACACCATTAAAACAAGTTATTCTGACACTTAAAGGGATAGTTCACTCAAAAATGAAAATTCTGTCATTAATTATTCACCGATATATTTTTGATTAAATCTGAGAGCTTTCTGACCCTCCATAAACAGCAATGCAACTAACAAGCTCAAGGCCCAGAATGTTAGTAAGGACATCATTAAAATAGTCCATGTGGCATCAGTGGTTCAACCGTAATGTTATGAAGCTACAACAATACTTTTTGTGTGTAAAGAAAACAAAAATAATGACGTTATTCAACAGTTTCTTCTCTTACGTGTCAGTCTTCACGTTCACGAGAGTACCATGACGCATGCATGTGCAAACAAGCCGCAGCGCATCCGGGTTCTATGTCAGAAAGCCGGCTCCTGCGTCAGCAGCACCACACGTATGCATCGTAGCATTCATAAAATTACGGTTGAACCACTGATGGCACATGGACTATTTTAACGATGTCCTTACTACCTTTCTGGGCCTTGAACTTGTCAGTTGCGTTGCTGTCTATGCAGGGTCAGAGAGCTCTCGGATTTAATCAAAAATATCTTAATTTGTGTTCCGAAGATGAACGAAGGTCTTACGGGTTTGGAACGACATGAGGGTGAGTAATTAATGATAGAATTTTCATTTTTGGGTGAACTAACCCTTTAATTATACACAGATACACTACAAATATACTAATACCAGATTCATGTGCCACATTCAATAATAGGGGGTTTACACTTGAAATTGCTGTCTGAGGGTCATTTTAAACTTGGATTAAAGCAATCCTGTGTTACCTTAATTATTTGTATATTTTTGTGACGTATGCATATTTAATAATAATAATACATCTCTTTATTCCAGTTAATGTTTTTGCTTTCACTGTTTGACATTTTATACTGCTTAGCTGAAACTAAATAAAGCATGTTAGAAGAAGTGTATGTAACAAGTACAAAGTGCATGAATATTTAAAGAGGTGAGCATTGGGCGCAAATGCAGTGAAATTCTGTTAGCACTGTAAAAGCTCTTATAATGAACTAGGGTTAAAAGTAGTCTTGTCCCACTTTAAAAAAAATACAAAATAAGTTTTGTTCTTAACCCAGAATTAACTTTTAACCTAGGTTAAATAAAGATGTTAACCCTGGGTTAAGTGTAATCTGAATCTAAGTGTAAAAGTCTTTTAGATCCACAGAATATTTCTTATGAATATGAGAAACATCCATAGCTTAGACTCGTGTCTGAATGAGTCCAAATCCCTTTTTTAGCAGGAAGAGGAGGAGGACCGCTACAAGGAAATGCTCAAACGCAGTGATAGCGAGCATATCGCCACTAACTACTTCAAGCCAAAACGGAGCAGTCAGCTGTTGGCTGGCGACTCTATTAAAAACACAAGTGAGAGACTGATTTAATATAAACCATTACGTTTTCATATTCACTTGTTTCACTCATGCAATGGTTGTGTTTATAAATGCTGATCATTCTAATAATTTTCTCACAGTGAATTATTCTGGTTCAATCGGTAATGGTCCAGTGCACCAGACCTCTGTTGGGTCCAGTTTGTCTCCTCTAAACGTGGAATCTCTCCTTCCACGCCCCTTCCGTTTGGAGTCCCTTGGAGTCCCACCTGCACATGGCAAAGTAAAACGCAAGAAGAGCAAGACGCTCATCCCAACTGAGAGCAACTGACAGGACATGGTTTGACAAATCCTGCGTATGAGAGCTTAGAACTTCTATCTTTTTAAGCTGCTTTTATCTGTTTTTAATTCATATGTAGATATATAAAGACATATTTTTGTTGTATTAGTGATTAATGACAAACAGGGTAATTTTGTGACCTAACTTTCAATTCTAAATGTCACACAATGTGGCATGAAACACTGTATAACCATAGGAATTTTAACTAATACTACCTGAAGTAATAGAAATAATGCTACCTAATGTGCTGCTCTGGTTTTATTTTGCACTGAGAGTTCAACACAGAAAACCCATTTTGTGGTATTTTAATGTCCGTTACTGTCTATATCATTAAATAAATATTTTTGACCTGAAAAACTAGTCTAATTTGTTTGTCCTTTTTAAGATTTATCCTACAAATGAAAGTAGTCTAATAATTATGGTTATGGCTGATCATATTCAACATGCAGACCATGTAAAACAAAATACATTTTTCTAGGCCACTTACAGTATATAACTAATTTAATGTGAGTGGATTAAAATCAAGTCTCACTTTTGTTCAATAGACTAATATCAACATATGGGTTGCAAATCTTGTTTTGTGTTGCTGTCTTCAATTTGCAAAACCGAATGTGTGTCATGTCTCTCTAGTGCACATTCTGGTGATTAACCTCTTGCAGCCAGACTCAAAACAATTAGGTGTGGTCAATTTAAATCCTAACTTCGCTGCAATGAATAGATAAGTAAAATACATATTCGCTTTGTGTATTTGTGCGACTTTGGAGCCCCCTACAGTTCAATAAGTGGAATTCGCTGTAGTAAAATGTAAGTGTCGTAATTACAGTGGATAGCTGTGATATAAATAAATAAAACTTTAATTGAAAAATCTATTGAATAAATATGCGAGAGTGTTCAATATACTGTTAAATATCTAAAAGACACAGGATTTAAGAAGAACATGTTTTTTTCCCCCTCAACATCATTGCTCCACACTCGATCCCAGTAGGTCGTGGAATAAGCACCAAAAGCGGTTTGCCATCCGCCATAAAACGTCAAAAGAAAAAGACGACGAAGGCTAGCTCTGTTGCTACCGAGAACAGACGTTTTGGAGGTAAGCGTGGTAAAAGAAACAGAAGCTATTCTTATTATTAGTCAGTTTGCCACAAAAACATTTTGAAATTGACATTTAAACGTAAACATATGACCCCTTTAACAGCCTGCTCACAAACTGTGTGAGGGCTAATCAAAATCATCATAGTTTCAAAGCTCACAATTTTTACAGCAGTGCATCACCTGATTCATTTTTTCACATGTGTTTTATTAATCTAATTGCATTGGGATTGAACCAGTTACATTTTTCACCATGGTTTCAACCACAGCCATACCAGTTGTAAAGGTTTAAATTGTTGGTTATGCAAAGCACAGTACTTGGACTTGGATACAGTTTAAGCATAATATTCTGCTATCTGATGATCATACAGCACAGCAACCAGACAAACTTGAAACCAAGTAAGAAATTATTGCTTTATTCATGTGTGTTCCGTGGTTAAACATTGCAGTAATTTATGGCTGCTTTCCATGTGCATTATTGTGTGGATTTGGTTAGATGAGCAGCTGTCAAAGGGCAACTGTTAACTGAGTAAATACAAACAGAAGGAACCATTCTCAGTATAAGTCATGAACTAGGTCACATTGCGAGATAAAGAACTTTAATGACAGATGAATCTGAGAGGCCAGGTAACATGAACACCAGTCTGTTGGTTGCAACTCAAGATAATGCGCTAATCCACTGAAGTGCTGTGTCAGATCTCACTGACCGGTGTGTAAAATGAGGAGTTTGACTGATAGCTGATCTTTGGAAGCCTGGGTTCCTCAGGTTCAACAGTCTCTGGTGAAGCAGATATAGCCTCCTCCATTGTATTTGGAAAAAAACAGGAAGTGATTTTCTAAAGCAACTGATTAGCAAAACAGTAATGATTCATAAAGAGTTTTGGAGCAGGATTTTGGAGCATCTACTTAGGTCTAGTTCCAAATTAAAGTTATTAGGATCACCCGGAAAAGTAAACATACTCTATTATCGCAAAGGCATCCATTTGTTATAGTCACTATTTAGAATCAATAATTAATGGACTAAAGGTAAAGTGCCACACTGTATTACTTGAAATTGTTAAAAGTGAACTGTGCAATTTCTGTGCAACTAGTACGAATCGCAAAAATAATGACCATTGGTTGAGCTGATGTTGGTCAGTATGTTTTTACATTTTTCAGAGGAATCAGCCTACCAGTGGCTTTTAACATTATAAAATTGCACACTCCACTTTTATTATTTGGTTGTTAAGTCAGACGTCATGTGTCACAGTTTCTGGGTCCAAACCATACAGTCTATGGTCCAAACGCTTCTTCAGATGCCAAAAGCAAACAACAAACAATGATAATATACGCTCAGTGTGTGCTGCAGTCCTACTGAAAATCATGAACCAAATTTTTATCTCCATACCCCAATCTTACTAGGCTACAGAGTGATTATTGTTTTAAAAAATGTTAAAATATTGGTGTCCAGGACACCATGAGACTGGAGATTACACTGTGAGAATGAACAGTGCTCATAAATGGCTGTTGTAATGGTATTCTCACTTAAAACGGAAAAGAGGCTTAGACCCAGAAGCATTATTTGATATATCACGACTGGAGAGAATAGTCAACAAATCTCAGTTTTTCAGCAATCCTAGTTTTCGTAATGCCTCTCTCCGATCCCTTCCGATGCTAGGAACCGACACATTGAAGCCTTTGGAACGAGATGATGCATGCAATTCTGCTTTTATGGAGGCCGATTCATTAGAATTAATTTGTGTGTCTGTAAAATGGTTTTTGGTTTCTACTGTAGAAGAACTTGATTGGTGGTTCTGAGAAACTGCATTTAAGACTGTGATGTTAGATCCTGACAGTCCCATCCCAGTGCGTTCCAGTGTAGCAGATTTCCTGGTTGAAGCCATATTGGCATGCTGTGGAAAAGAAGAAGCTGCCAAAAGATCGCTCACAGACCTTTGGTGGAGAGGACTGCAAGTTTGTACTGGCTGATTTGGAGCAAGACATTCCTTTGTGGTCTGGTTTTGCACCAAGTTTGCTGGGGACTCTGAATGCTTTTGTCGTTGACAGATTGGGTTCTTTGTATCCTCCTTGAGGAGTCCCAACTTGCAAAGAGCCTCCACTCTTACGTTCATTAATTTATCCACTGTCAATACTCCTGAGTAAGGCATGGTTGAGTCGATCTTAGGGTTGGAGGCTTCTTCCTGGTTCACTGGGACCTTGTGTGGGGTTTTCATTTTAGGTTTAGGGGCCACAGGTGGAGGAGTGGGCTTGGAGCTCCTACTTGTCATGGCCTGTGTGAGAGTTTGGGATCCAGAGATGCCTCCCTCATGATCTTTATTTGTAGAAAACTGCTGTTCTCCGGTTTTGGCTTCTGTAGCATTGGTTCTCCGCATCGATGCACTCTTGCGCAGATGCACCAGAGCCTCATACGAGAGTGGTCCTCTACGTGCCACATTCTCTGGCTGATGTTTATTCTGTTGTTCTTCAACTATGTCTTTACTGCCTTTGATTTTATGTGGAGGTGGTATCAGTACCACATTGACTTCAGAGGGAACCCGTGGAGCTTCTTGATGGAGCTCACAAGCCACTTTGGGTGCCGTCTTTTTCTGGGATGCAGCTATTTCAGGTCTGGTTTGGATTTGTGAGTTGTGGTTTGCAAGGACAAATGGAGTAGGAACCATATAATTCAGAATGTCATTTTGCACTAAGCTGCTAGATGAGAATGGACCTTCAAATTGGCTTTTGGGTACATCTACAGACAATAAAAGAAAATATATTTTACTGCATTATAGGCAATAGTAGTTATAAATACTACATGAGCAACAACACACCTTGATTAGAAACCTTGCTGAGTCTTGTTGACGAAGAGAGGTGGGCCGCTTTGTTAGCCACATTTCCTCGAGCTGGCAGCTGATCAGTCTCATCATTGGACAGGCCACTGTCATCCGCCGTATCCAGTGACTGAATGGTCTCCTCTAAGTACATGAGACAAGCCTTCTCCTCAGCAGAGAGATACTCCAGACTTTCATCACTCTAAAACATAAATTATTTGCATTTGTGGACGGATTTTAATGTGTTTATTAAAGGGATAATTCAACCAAAAATGAAAATTCCGTCATCATCTTCTCACCCTTATTTTGATCAAAACCTGTATGACTTACACTCTCAGAAAAAAAGGTAGAAAAGTTGTCACTGGGGCAGTACCTTTTCAAAAGGTACAAATATGTACCATTTAAATAAAAATTTTGGTACTTGCATACCTTTGTACTACTTGCACTTTCTTCTGTCTTCTTCAGAACACAAAAGAAGATATTTTGAAGAATGTTTTTGTCTTAAAGGCAGTGGGGCCCAAAACAACCCTCAAAATATCATCTTCCAAAGAAGAAAGAAAATCATATTGGTTTGGAAGGACATGGTAAATGATGACAGAATTTTTATGTTTTGGTGAACTAACACTTTAATATATTTTATCAGCGTTTTCTAGACACATCAAACAACTGGAGATGTATAGCGTATTTAAATGTATTTTAACAATATGTACAGTATGTATTCATAAAAAAAGTATGTCTTACGAAGCATGAATTGAAGCTGACCATGCTGTCACAGCTGCCATTACTGTCAATCTCGCCCATTGTGTCGAGGCATTTGCCATCTTGCCACATGACACTTATCGGCATTTGCAAATTATGGAAACCTCCACCCTGATATGAATTCAAAGTTCTTTACAATGGTGATGAAACTGCATTTCCCTTTAAAAAAAGATCATATAAAAAAATGCTTGAGCAAGCATCTTGATATGCATCCTTTGAAAGAATTGGTTATATTAGTAATAATAGTGGAAATTGTAAAGCAATTAAAATTGTAAATACATGAACTTAAATTAGCCAGGAATTGTTTGTATTTTTGTGTATGGTATATTAAATGATCAGATGATGTGAATGAGATTACAGCAGACGTTACTCTGAGCTTCTTTAGTTGGATCAAGTCCGGCATGAATGGAAGATAGTGAACCATCGGTTGGTTTAAAGCAAAACTTTGACCTCCAATTCAGAGTGCACAATGCTAAATAGACAAAAATGTTAAATGTGCAAAAAGTTCTGCTCATCAAGTTTAATTCTTTAATATTTTGTACTACAGAAATGGTTTCATATGTACACCTTATGAAAGATCAGCAAGAACAATGTCAATACACTTTGTTTTATTAGTCATGTAAAAGGCTCTCACTGTTATAAATTTGCATATGACGTGAATGATAACGCATTTTTTTCCTTCAGTGATTACATTGTTGGATACAATGCAAATGTAAGAGCAAACAGGATTTCTTTGTAGATAGATGAATGAAGCAGTTGCAGTTTAATGAAAAATGAAACCATCATCAGTATAGCACAACATTTGTTTTCGAATCTGTCAAAATATCATTATATTTTAAAAGTTGATCTGCAATAATCGAACTGTAATCAGTAAGCCATATCGCAATGAGTGTAGAAGCAAAGTCCATTTCCACAGACATACTAAACCCACTGGCCTTTTTTAATCTAGTTTATATAATCTTAATAACATACTGCTAATCAAATGTTTGGTTCTCTTTGTAATTGCAACACCAGTATGTGCTTTGAAACACCAACGTCTTTTATGCAATTCTAGAGAAATAATCTATGATCATAATAACACTGAAATGACTTTATTATACATGTATGACCTGTATTACACAAGAAAGCACACTTATCTAGTAATTTACTTTAAGGGTATGTGAAACTATCAGTATCAGACTACACTAGAAATGAATTCACAGTGTTTAACACATGGGTAAGACACATAATAGGCTATAGTAAATAACAGCGTGTATATTTATTTAAATCTGATTTTAATTGATACATTTCATCACATTAATTACAATTGCATAATTCATTTTCTATTCATCTCTGGTTAAAATTCTGTTATAATTTGCCTTTCCCTTAAATTAAAATCTTAAGAATACTTATATGCAGAAATAAATATATGAATCCTGAAGCATGCCTTAATAAAAGCTTACCTCTTGTGCAGAAACGAGATGGCAGCCCAGCAGGTTCACGTGCTTCTACAGTGTCAGTGCTGTGAGGTACAGTGAGGTGTCAGTACTGTACATAAGGAAAATCTTCAACCAATCATTTGCGTCTCTCTCCTGCAGCAGCCAATCAGAGAACAGACCGGTGAGTGTAGAGAAAAAACGAACGTTCGTTTAAAAACAGTAGTTTAGTGACTGGAAAATACATATGAAAGACGCGTAGTATATACTTCACTACACATACTACTTCTCTGCACACGCCTGGAATGACAAACACACGATGACAGAAAGTGTCAAGAGAGGATCACCGGCAAATCCTGGTTAATCGCGTTATTAAGGGTTTCTTAAAATAACATTAGTTTAAGCCCCGTCAAATGGAACTGATTTGATCCTGTTCCACTAACTGGGATTCATTAGGCTATGTTTTCACACCCTATACAAGCAATCGGTTTTAACATTTATTTTTTTAGTATTATTACTATTTTTTTTGTTTTGTTTTTATGGTACTTCCTACTAATAAGAAATCCAATCGTGTGGTAACTTCAATCGGTTTTAACATTTATTCCTTAAAATTCACTTTTAAGATTTGATCTACTACTGGTGCTTATGCTACTCGAAGAAATCCAATTGTGACTAACTATTCAATCGGGTTTAATATTTATTTCTTCAAACTAACACGTTTTATGGTAGTGGTACCATGTAAAAATCCAATGACGACTAGTAACTACTCATTAGTTCTTATTCCGATGTGATAGTAGCCTATATATTAAATTACTCACCATTTAGTCACTATTGCTAAGGAGTAATTACTATGTAGTGAATGAGGTACAGGATTATTTGTAGATTATATATTAGTAATTCTAAAATAATTTCTTCACAATAGATGCTAGTTTAAGAAATAAATGCTAAAAGCCATATGCAAACAAAATTTGTACATTTTCTAAAGAATATAGAGTTGTACTTGTCTGCGCAAAACTGCAGTAAGTTGGTTGGCCGTGCTAAGTGTGTGTTGGGTGTTGCTAGGTGGTTTCTAATTCTAGGGCATTCAAGATGAAATTAACATTGGGGTTCCTGGTTAAATTGGAGTTATGGAACAAATTGCTTGGTAAAGTTTAATACTAACATTAAAGGGGTCATATGATGCGATTTCAATTTTTCCTTTCTCTTTGGAGTGTTACAAGCTCTTGGTGCATAAAGAAGATCTGTAACGTTGCAAAGACTAAAGTCTCAAATCCAAAGAGATATTCTTTACAAAAGTTAAGAGTCAGCCACGCCTACCTAAAACGGCTCGTTCTAACACGCCCCCACATGTCTACATCACTATGTGGGAAGATTTGCATAACGCCGCCCAAATGTTCATGCAAAGAAAGAAGGCGTAACTTTTATTCTCGCTGTAGTATTGTTGTTGCCGCCATGTCGTGAAGGCGCTGTGTGTTTCGTTGTGAAAGCAAAACTACTTTGTTTGGCCTTCCAAAAGAGGACGATATCTGCTTCGTCATGCCTGGAGCTGATCCATGCTGGTTGCTGAGGAAATACTACAACTTTGCGCTGTGGATCGCCAGAACGGCTTTCACCGTGGATGACGCGGAGTCCAGCCTGTGGTCGTCACATGTGGTTGCCGCAAGCCCTCCGGACGCTCCTTCGTCGAATCCGCCAGCCGTTCCTCACTCTAGCCCCCGGCTTCTGCTTTGAGTGCATTTGAGTGTGTGACGCTGTGTTTCGTTGTGAAAGTGAAACTACTTTGTTTGGCCTTCCAAAAGAAGGACTGCAGCTGATCAGAGCTGGTCGCTGAACCTTAAACCGCATAAATACATTTCATTACACCAAATACACAAAATAATGTTCTTTTTAGCAGCATCATATGACCCCTTTAAAGTTTGGGAGTAGTAGTAATGGTTGCTTTAGTAAACCACACTAATTAGTTAACAATTAGGCAAAAAATATAAAAATATTTATATATATCAATTCAAGTTTATTTATCATTGCCCAGTATAACCAGTGATTTTGTAGCAATGAGTGCTGTACATGCAGTTTCTCACTCAAAGTTACCTTAGTGTAACACTGATCACAGCCATTTAGAAAAATCACTGCAAAATAAAGTCCTTTGGCCTTACAATGACACCATTTCTTCAAAATAAAAAGGCTGCAAACAAGTAAACAACAGTGTGGATAGTACCTGACTGAAAAATACTGAGAATGTACATCATTATCATCAGGCCTTACAAGATGTTTTCTCTCTAAAGTTCATCCACACTCTAATGCAATGATACTTTGCTACACTAAACCTCTAATATCGGCCCTGTAAGCAGCAAAATGTTCAATATGACACATTTCATCACTTAAAATGTAAAATGAAAATCACTACAATCACTCTTCCTAACAATATGTCATAATCACTTGAGAGAGAATAAACACGTTTTGCATAAAACAATCTTGCGTGGTCATTTGCAGAAAATACACAAGTGCCCTTAAAAGAAAAAAAAATCTACAGATTCACAAAGTAGTTCAGTGACATTCTACTATCAGCACCATTGTTGTCCACTTCAACTTAAAATCCACGCTTTCTTTCTAAATAGCTTACTGAAAATGTGTAAAAACCGCATCGAGTATTCAGAGTCGACACTTGATCTATGTGACTATTTCAAGTAACAGGTACAATGGAGCCAAGTGAACTTAAGACTTCATGTAGTGCCATCGATTGTTCAGAAGCTGTGCGTATGACCTTAAAAAGACAGATAATATAATAAATACAGTAATGCCATGATTAAATTAGATATCATGAAAGGCATGTTTTTAGCTGTGCTCCACCGTTTTTTTCAATACTACTCTGGCCACAGATGCACTTTGTGTGTGAAAAGATTAACATATTTGATTAATTGTTAAAAATGATCAATTATGCCTTATGCGATCACTCGTTTAAAGTTTCATTATTTGTTAGGTACTACCAAGAGTTTGGCTAGCACTGTCAAACAGCTGTTACTCACACATCTTTGAGCTGCAGGCAACAGAAAAGTGTTTACATGAGGTCATGGGTGAATCTCACAAAAACACGTCTAGGTCACATTTAACAGTGAAAAATTATATTTAAGATATTTTTAACATCATTTTCATGACATTTTCATTAAATTATTAGATGTAATACAGTAACTTATTTTCCAATGAAATGACTGCTATAAAATATAAAAGCAGCCTAACTTTAATACTACTATGTATAAATACTTCATAATTTATAATACCATACTGTATTACTAATATTAAATGAGAATTATGGTGAGAATTATGAAAATAGGCATCAACAACTATAAACACACATATAGCTTAAGATGCCTGTTAATAATTAACAGTTAAATTAATTTTTTTGAATCGTGATTTAAATAATTTTTTGAATTGTGATTTCATACACAGTCTTTTTTTTTTTCCTTCTTTGATTCTGCAGTGAAATATGACCTGGATGTGTTTTGCGAAATTCACCCTAATACTAGTATTGCAATCATTATATATAAGGTAGTCAGTGGAGAATCCCTTTAAAATTTGGTTTGAAGATATGGCTTTGTCATCATATCTGGCAACAGACTCAAAAACACGAGCACATTTAATACTTCAAACTCAAGAGTAAACCAAAGTTAAAAGAATAATGAATTCTTGGGGGAACTCGACATGTAAGAGTCTTCTGAAGCCGCTAAACAATGTGAGGTAGAGGACTGTACCAAGCTGGAACAGGCAGCAGAGAAAGAGCAGGTACCATGTTAGGTGGCGTGGCAGTGGCGCGGTAAAGGTGGGGGTGATTTAAAAAACAGAGCGAAGAGCGTCACACCTCCCCGAAGTTGGTGTGGCCGGTCTCCTTGGCATGTTCCCTTGCTTCCTTCTGCCCCACCAGGCCAGTCTGGCACACCATGCAGCGCAGAGCAAAGCGGTTGACGTCTGTGTACTGCCGTTTCCTCCGCGCCTCATCGGCGAGCTCCAGCGCTTGGGCCAAAATTATGTCATCGGTGGTGGAAAACACAGTCTGTGCGGGAATATCTGAATTGGGCACCACCTTCTGGAGTGGGTCATAATGAATCCCATCATAAATTAGCAGCACTCGTTTAGTGTAACCAGCATCCTCGCCGAAGCGGTCGACACGCACAGTCTGAGTGTCAACGACGCAAATCTCACCCTGGTAGAACTTTGAGAGGATTGAAATCTCAATGGCGCCTCCCCACGTGTCATCGCGACGGATCCAGGAGCAATAGTCCTCATTAGTCTTGCCCAATACTGCCTCTGAGTACGCGGAGGGGTCACTAGCTACAATCTGTGCGATGAGCCCGCGCATTTCAGGCGCACAGCCTGGGTCATAAACACCTTCCATAACGTAGTTCACACTGGTAAACAGACAAGAGTTGTCGGCAGGGACGACGTGCCGCTCTATAACCGGGGACAGGTCAAGACTGGGCCTTTTGGTCACAGTGGTTTGTGATTGGGGTTTGGGTTTGTTCTTCTCCTCCTCTACAATCAGTGTGTCTCCTGGAACAATAAACGTACCAATGAGCAACACAGGAAACTCAGCAAGATGGTTTTATAAATAGGCCTACAGAATTAAAAGAATAGTTCACCCAAAAATTTGCTGAGAGTTTACCCATAGCCCCAGGTCATTCAAGATGTAGATAAGTTTGTTTCTTCATTGGAGCAGATTTGGAGAAATTTAACATTACATCACTTGCTCACCAATGGATCCTCTGTAATGAATGGGTGCCATCAGAATGAGAGTCCAAACAGCTGATGATAACATCACAACAATTTTACTAATCCACAAGCTGCGTGTTTGTAATGAATAAATCCATCAAGACGTTTTAACTTCAAAATATTGCTTACGGCTAAAATATGTAAGGAAGAGGATTAGCGCAAAGCAATAATCAAAAAATAAAACCATCTCGAGAATAAAGTCATTATAATATGAGATTAAACTCTTTAAATTTCAAGAAAAATGTCAAAATAAAATGTTGAGAATAAACTCATTAAATTACGAGAAAAAAAGTCGTTAAGTTTAGAGAAAAAAAAGCTAGTTCAACTTTGAGAAAAAATTCGAAATAAAATGTTGAGAATAAACTCATTAAATCGTGAGGAAAAAAGTCATTAAATTTCAAGAAAAAAGTCAAGATAAAATGTTGAGAATAAAC